TGAGCATATTTTGGTGTTTTTACAGCTTAATCAAAAAAAAAACCTCACATTACATTCATTGTATGCAATCTGATTGCAATAGAGAATTTATCTCTACAAAATTTGATCAATATCTTCAAACGCATGGAATTCTATGACAATTGAGTATTATCTAGACACCTCAACAAAATGAGATCTTTGAAAGAAAGAATCACTCTATTCTTAATTAAGTTTGTGCTATGCTCCTTAATAGACATGTGCCTATTTTTTTTTGGGCCAAAGTAGCCCATACAACTATACAGCTCATGAATTTTTAGTTCCACCAAGTCTAATGATAGAAAGACTCTTTATAAAGTGTTCATGGATAAGCAACCGAACCTCAGCAAGATTAAGATTTTCAGCTATGTTTTTTTGTATATTGAGATAAAATACAAAGATACAAATTAGAAGTCCAAACTACTCCAAGAATTCACTTAGATTTAGATGAAATTTCTAAAGAATATAAAGTTTATCTACCGAATTTTTAAAAAATTCAAATTATATTCTATCATATAGCATGATTTTTTATTTAAAAATATACTAGATACCTAGCTATAGAGAGTTTTAATTTATTAGCTAAGCTCTAATAAGTAATTTATTCTTATAAACCTTCTAAGGCTTTCTAAAGCATCTAAAAATGCCTTATTATTCTTTTTTATACCAAATTATAATTAATTATTTGCCAATAAGTTAGATTTTCAATAAGCTCAAAAAAAATTCATAATCTCCTTATAAAAATCTATATTTATATCATAATTTTTTTATAGTTCCATATCTCTATCTTTAATATATATTTAAAGTTTAGCTCTCAAAAATTCCTTTATTTTGCATAAAATACTCAAATTATAGAAAAATCCTTTCAAAATATTTTTCTCCCACAAAGGATTTTTTTTTTCTTAAATTTTAAAATATCATAACTCTTAATTCAAGCATTTATTTTTTTTTCAAATTCTTAATTAATATAGAATTTATTCTTAAGCTTTATCATAAAAAATGAACCATAAATCTACTAAAAATCATTTGGCATCTTAGAAATCCTAGTAGATACTCTAAATCCTAATTTATAAGCATTCAAATACTATTTTCTTCATATTTAAAAAATTCAAAATTTAAATACTACAAAATTTGGTTTATAGTTTTATATCATAGTAAAATATATTTAAAAAAAAACTTAGCCCAAGATTCGTCCAAATACCTAAGATATGGTTAAAACTAAATCCTTCATGAAATTTGTTCATTGACAAACCTCAATTTAAAAGTGTTTTCTTTAAGTAGTTATTGCTCCTCCAAATCAATTTTAAAACTTTTGCTTTTTACATGCAAAATATATTCCTTTAAACCAACTTTCTAATTGCATAATTCGATCTTCTAAAGAGCTTAATAGGCTTGCACTATGCCCCAAAGAATGATAGTAGGTACAAAATCCTAAACCTTAATTTTGAGCTTCTATATCTTCTTCATAAAAATTCCAAATTATACAAAATATTCACCAAAATCATATCCAAAATCCTGAACTTGATGATCTTAATCTCTAATATTTGAATGGCCTCAAAAGAGTAATCCTAATATCTAATAAGGCCTTGAACAACCTCCTTGAAGTCTATTGGGCATGACTTTTGGCCAATAAGAATGGAGATTTTCATCATTTATCTCTATTCATCCATGTGGTTGGCCTAATTATCCCTTTTTACACAATAATCCCTCTTTAATCTTTTTTTTAATAAATTTTATAGTATGTGCCTCAAATATCAAATAAAAGAAATAAAATAAGGTTTTAAGAATTACCAATGTCTAATAAAGATGGTTCTAAATATATAAAAACTATTATCAATATAAAATCAACTTCAATAATAGCCTTTCTAAACTAACTAATTTAAATTAGTAATTTAATGATATTTTATAACTGACTAAAATCTAGTAACATGAGTTTCATTATATTGTATAATAAATTATATATTAAATATATATGTGCATTATTTTCATATGGTAGCCAAACTACAACACGATAATGTAAAGTCTTATTTGATAAAGATAATTTTCTCATTTAGGACTCTAAACCATAGACCAATACCTTCTACACTCCTAAACCATCATCAATTGACTAATAATATAGCAACATTAAAATCCATCTTGATATTCAAAATCCATATCAAGACTAGGAATTTTTTTTGCTTAACTTGAATTCCAATATCAAAAAACCACCTTATATTGAAACTCTGGTTCCTTACAACATGGATATTTTTTTAAAAGATCATCATCCAAAAGAGACATCTTCTTATCAAAATTCATTGCTAATAGCAAATTTTACACCTTATTTACTTGATTTCAATATAATGGATAAATGGCCAACTTTTGAAGCAATCAATGATATATCCTCATATGTAGAAAATAATATTGATAGATCTCAATCTAAACAACTCCATTCCTCAACATCTTCTAAACCATTGAATAAAAATTATTGCTTAATAAAATGTCCAGCTTGGCTATAAGATTATTTTTGCAATTTTTTAGACATATCTGTTGAATCAAAATTATATAATGAAGGAGTTTAAGATAAAGGATGGAAAAATTTAATGATTGATGAGATAAAATCTATTCATGATAATAAGACATGATCAATCACTATTCTTCTTTTAAAATATCAAGATATATTAATAAATTGGATGTATAAAGTAAAAATAAAAATTGATGGTAGTATATAAAAAAAATCATGATTAGTGGTTTATAGTTTTGAATAATAAAAAGACATTAACTATGAAAAAAATTTGCTCTAATAGTTGAATGGGGCACCATACAAATATTCTATGTAATATCTACACAAAAAAATAGCAACTATTTTACATGGATGTCAAAACTACTTTCCTGTATTGTAATCTCAAAGAAGAAGTCTACATCACACAATCTCAAGACTTTGTAGTTGAAGGGCAAGAATACATAGTATGCAAACTATACAACACTCTTTATGGACTTAGATAAGCACCAAAGGCATGATATAAAAAAATTAATTCATTTCTTTGAATTCAAGGATTTAAAAAAAAAAAAAAAAAAAAAAAAAAAAAACTACAATCTTTATGTTATTCACTATTAAGGAAAAATGCTACTTCTAATTCTCTATATAGATAATCTTTTCTTCATAGGAAATTATATTAAATAGATCAAATGATTTAAATCACAACTTGAATTAAAATTTGAGATGTCAAAACTACGAGAAAATGATATGGTACTCTATTTCAAGGCTCAAATAATTAAAGTACCAAAGGAACTTTTTATGACATAATAAAATTATGCATTACAAGTAATTCATTATTTTGGCCTTGAAGGATGCCAATGTGACTTAATTCCCATGATTGAAAGACTAAAACTCACTCTTGATATGAATAAAGACACAATTGATTCAACTTATTATCAATCTATATTTGGTAAATTTATACAATTAGGTCACTCTTCACATGATATCTTATATTCTATTGGGATTGTTAGTCATTTCATTATAAAACCACATAACCACATTTGACAACAATAAAAAGAATTTTAAGATATACTATAAAAATATTAAATTATAGAATATTCTATCATATAAATTTACTAATAATACTATCAAGTTATATAGATATAGATTGAATAGGAGACCTAACTAATAGTCAATGAATAATAAGTTTTGTTTTTAAATTAGAGGCCAATTTAATCATCTGGCTTTTAAAAAAATAAGCCATTGTTGTCCTCTCATCCTTAAAAGTAAAATATATGGACTTATCTATAGCATCTAGAGAAGTAGCATGGTTAAACAAACTTACATGTGATTTTGCACTTCAATTTTAAAAAATCAATTCCAATATATTATGACAATAAAGAGGGTATCAAAATAGCAACAATCTAGATTTCAATCTAAAAAAAAAGCATATAACCACACATCATCATTTCACAAGAAAAAAAAATAAAAAAAAAAAGAGGTTAAATTAGTCTATGTACCTTCTCTTGAATAAATAACTAACATCTTTACCAAATCCTTGGAATGTAGTATATTTGAGAAATTTAGATCAAGATTGAATATCATTCCTATAGGAGAAGCATAATCCTGACAAAACTACTCCTTTTTCAACTTCTCTCTCCATAGCTCATAGTTATATGCATCAATTAGCACATCCAACTCAGTAGAAAACAAATCACTTGCTCTTCTCTCACTTGCTACATCACCTTCCTTAAAATCAAATAACTATTTTCTCCAAGCATGAGACACCACCATCAATGATGAGATGAAAACAATCTAAAAACAATCAAAATAAATTTCTTCACAAACTAGAGTCTCAGAGTACACATAGCTTCTTAGTAAGTATCAAAATTGATTTAGTAGTGAACGGGGGTGTTGGAACAACAATCCCTACTTCATCATCTAATGAATATTGTATGGATGACCTAAGATCTGACATCTTTGCCGAATACTCAGATCTCTGTACACATGTACTTAAGCCTGCGCTAGCAGTCTTGCAGTGAGTAAGTAAGCCCCTTTCTGTTTTGTTCTTTCATTTATTGTTCTCTCAAAAACTGCACCAAAGATATCTAAAGGTGTGCAGATTTCTCAAGGTGTGCAGATTACATTCTACAGTGCTGTGCCTGGCTGACCCTCATATTTTCTCTGATTACTTTTCCTAGGCTCTTTCTCTCATTCTGATGCCTCCTATTGAAAATGTGTATCTAGCAATGTGATATGGCACGAGCAAATGCGCCCCAGTGGCGGTGATTTACTACAGGGGATGAAAGTGGGTGAATTGGATCCGATGCCGCGGTTTGTCACAACTCAGAGATTCTATTACCGTGGCCTCCTGGAGGATTCTTATAAATGGGCTCAATCATCATGCTGGCCCAGTTGTAACCCCATTACGAAATCTAGTTGACCTGTCAATGGAGTTTATGTTTGAGTGAACAAATCGTTCTTCAAGTAATTTTATAACTTCTCTACAAACACTGTAAATCAAATAAGAACATTTTCACGAGAAGAAAAGTTTCATATTTTCAAATCCTTTCGAATACACTTTGTTACACCAAACACCCATTAGTAATGTTGTTGAACTTGCTTGCAAATTACTAAGGGCTCCAAGTACTATAGCCAAAAAGGCAAAGCTATGGATCAGGGCTAAAGCTGGGAGATTCTACAGGGCAGAGAGCACAAGACATCTACGTCGAATGTTACAAGACGGTTCTAGAAACCATACACAACTAATGAATTCAATCAGTGAGTGAATTCAAGGCCTAGTGGCTGCTGCTGCTGCTGCCAGTCTCTCAATGTCTGTGTGGCCATTCTGTGATGCCTGGTGCATTGTTTGTATTGCTCCCAAGCTTCATAGACCGAACAGAATGGATACAGTGGCACCCATTTAAGTTTTTGTCTTACTTTTTGTAAGGAAAACTGTGCCACTTACCAACTGTTGTATTTGTTACATTGAGCGAGTCCTTCACTTGGTGAAACAATGAAGCGTGGCGTGATGGAGATCTATAACAATTGTCGTATGATCTGGTGAAGACGATGTCGATGGCGGTACTCCGGGTCAATTGTGAGGAACTTGTTGCTGTCATTGCTTCTTGCATTGCTGGAAGGCCCCATGATGATAGTTTATTGTTACAGTTACTTAATCCTGGCATCTGTGAGATGAAGCTGCGCAATCTGAGCTGCAGTTTGGGGTGGTACAGTGGTTGCAGTCCTTGCAGACTTGTAGTCACCTGCAGCTGCAATAGAGGCGGCGGATGGTTCACTTGCCTGCACGAGGATCTCGTATGCGCACACAACCATGTTCTGGTCGTGGTTTAGTAGGACCTAATAAGCAGACACAAGAAACGGGGATTAAATTCTGGGTATGAAATCGCTAATGACTTCAAACCACATGTTCGTCTGTGCTGTTTCACACTACAATTTCCGGATCGTATAAAGGTGTGTCTATTGTAAACAGCTACCCACAGGACGTTGCACAATTTTGTGCATAATAAGCGAAGAAGGGTTTTTAATTTCTTACCAGCGGACGAACGAGCGGTTGAACATGAGAAGCCAAGCTCAAGGTTGCCTCCTAGACTCTTCCGCGGCTGGTTGCAGACATACCTGATGCAGTAGCGGACATTCCTAAACTTGAAAGTTTGAACATCTCATATGTGAAATTCGTTCTTCACAAAATTCTTAAGGCCTCGTTTCATGTGAGGACAAATTGACGTGTATCCTGACATTTCTGCAACTGACATGTTGCAAGAACCTAAATATACAGTAAACTTTTGAAAAACGCGCATAGGCACTAGTATACACCATGGTTGACATAGGATAGTGTCTCAGTTGTATCCTATGTTATTACTCTTCCTGGGGATACAACTGAGACCTGGACATTGGAGAGCACTCTTTCAGAAACTTAAAAAATTACTTCTGGGGGTGTGAATAGCAACTGCACCTCGCCATTACTCCAATGCGAGGTTTAATGTTGAAACAGGCGACTGCAAGACCTGCAGGTCACCCATTCAACCCTTTGAAACTTATGCCATTCCAGCTCCGGATCAAAATTTATGAAACAATTCAAACGCATCATGCAGCTCACAAATTGCAGTGTGGCTCGCAGGAAATGTGGAAGATTCACGACTGCATGGATGCGTTCATTTCTTGGCTCTCAAGCAGATTTGAAACAGGTCATTATACATCCTTCAGCACGAACTCGACATGATGTCAGCAGATGTAGGTACAATATCATGGTTCAACTGTTCAAGATGAGTTCTGCAGCTCATGTTAACGCTTAGATTCGAAGCTGTCAGGCATCAGGCTGTAGCTCTTCAGGCTCCTGGTCGATACCCAGAGAATGCGTTTGAGCCCACCAAGTTTAGGTCCGAAGTATTACACATGCCAGGGGCCTGATGACAATGTTGGCGAATCAGAAGAGAGACCTGAATTGCTAGAGGTATACTGCGCTCCCGATGATGAAAGGACCGATTTCTCAGGTGATTGCAGGTACGTAGGTGTCGACTCCTGCGTGCTCTCTAAACTTGAGCAGGAATTCGAGCTGCGAAAGCCCATGTTCAGATCCAACGCCTTCGATATGGCCGTAATCGCATCACCACCCCGGGTGACGTAATCATTCCGGTCACCCTCGTCGACCTCCAACACTGGCTTGACGTTGTTCATTACTGGGTGTGATATGAACATCTTGGAAGCCCTTTGATACTCATCGTCCTGAATAAACCTCAAAACCGTCTCATTGTCAGGCGAATTTCTGTTCAGATGAATAGACCTTGACGTCCTGCTGGCTGTGATCCATGGAACAGGAGCCTTGACGTCCTGCTGTCTATGATCCATGGAACTGCTAAATCCGGTACTTGATGGCAGTGCACACGGATAATTGGAAGACAAGTTGTTTGTTCGCGATTTAGTTCCAGAATGCACCCCGAAGTTGGTCTTGGCCTTGGCTCCTCGAAGCGCCCTCGCGGCTACAAACATCACCACTTATCAGCGAAGGACTAAAAAAAATAATCAAAGAAGAAAAAGCATGACAAATTCGACGAGAAAATACGTCACAGCAACTGCAGAACATTGTTTTCTTGGTTGCAGTTGCGCCACCTTACCACTATCATAAGCTCGAGCAGCATCCTCTGCTGTGTCGAATGTGCCCAACCAGTGTCGACAGCGTCCAATTCGATCTCGAATCTCAGCAGACCATCGACCCCACGGCCTCTTCCTCACACCTCTGTACCCTCGCCCAGTGGTCCCGGCAGCTTTGGCGCTGGTAGCATTCTCAGTGCCGATGGTGGTGCTGGTCCCACTATCACCAGCTGATTGGCCGACCGATTCTCCGAACCCGGAATTCAAGGGTAAAAGGATATCCAACTGCGGGAACCTGGACGTCACCGAATTGAGAAGAAGATGGGCAGAGGTGGATTCGAAGTCCTCCAGCGTCGATCTGAAATGCGTAGGTGCTAGGCTTCCAGTCCGATAACCTCCTCCACATGAAACATCCACTGTCGGTGCATTTGTTCCGTGTGAAGGAAGACTCTCTGATAATTTGTCAGGAGCCAGACAATGAACGTACAGATTCCTGAATGTAGGGTCCGATGCATTAGCAGACAGGTCTCCGTGGTATGAGTTCTGCCCTTCAGACGAGTGACTGGTTCCAAACAGTACATTCTGCCCTACAACAGCTGCAATTCCATCTAAATCCTGGTAGTTGTGGAAGAATCCGGCCCCTTCCACCGTACCGCATCTCTCAAGCAAGAACGAAGTGGACGCTCTTGACCAATCCCCGCTGGTGTCTACCTCACGATAATCACTATCAAAATTGGTAAGAGAATTTATACCATCTGCGTTTATCAGACTATTGTGGACGCAATGGTTCTGACCCTCGTTGCCAGAGAAATAGTTATAGGACTGTTGCTGCGATGAGAGAGGAACATAAGTTTCTAGCAAGGAACCAAGCGAATGCATGGAGGGCACACTGGAAATCGGGGAGACGCATCGATCACAGAGGGAGTGGTATGTAGGTCCAAAGCATCGAAGGCAAGTCATCCACGGTCTCTTCACCTGAGTATGGTCACAACCAGCTCGCCATCCATCGTCCGACTTTTGGGGTACTTCACTTGAGACATCTCTCCACTTGCGCTTCGGTGGTAAATTGCTGATGCCAAGCACCATGTCGTGGAGTAACACGTCAATCAGTTATCCTCTGGAGCTTTTTGTGTCGGCAGGAAGATCTCATTCGTTAGTTACCTCAATTCTCTCAGACACAAACCAGTACTCACAAGCATCCGTAAGTTTAAGTTCGCAGAAGAAACAGATCACCAGTCAAGCTCTTGATCTTTTCCATTTTACGTATTCGTTGTTGATGTCTAGACTAGTGGAATTCCACCGCATCGAAGAATATTCAGACTGATCCCTGCCAGTCTTTCAGACCACCAAAACAGAATTCCAGTGCCACTCAGTCGCTTCCAAATTCCAAAGTCAGCCAGAAGCTAGACATGAAACTAGAATCGTCTAGCTATCCCCACTATCTCCATCAATCACAGAATTGGCACCGAGAGATTAAGGTTTCAGCGCGACAGAGCTCAAGTGGTAAGTCACATCACAACAGACACATCTCCGGGAATTTGGCTTCAGAGTGCTTGTGAGGGGAGGGGCGGGGTGAAGAGGGCAACACAACAGAAGATTGGCAATATCCTCATGAAGTCTAGATTGATCGCAAAAGTATACAAATTAAGTATTGGGTACACACCACTTGACACCAACCTGAGATTTCAATAGGAAATAAAAAATTTAAAAATTTAAAACAGTCGTGGTCTCTGTGAGACTATCAACGTGATCCCTGGAAAAGCTTTCCGGTGCTCCAACACCACTTGTTCTTGTACCTAACCAGTCAAGGGGGAAGCGCTTGACCGCACTAGATTCCTCAACCAAAGTGGGATATGATGATAATCTCACATTTAAGACAACCCCAATATTGATGTGAGTATTCCCGGACTACACGTAACAGCCTCCAGTGTACCCTTCTGTTTGGGACCGTGGCAAGTCCTCGCACGCGTAGACGCAGAGGCCAAGGGAGACAACGCACCACTGTCTTAGCTACAGTTTACCCTAATGCCAAGGTACCCAAGCTCACGCATGTGGCATTTAAATCGGAAGTTGCCATCTTCTCCCTTGGGTAAAGCGATCACCCTCTATGCATTCATGAGGTGGCACAGTTCCGCTTTGGTTCCGCTTGCGTACACGAGTTCTACACAACCTAGAAGATCTTTCTTTGGCCCTTCATCAATGTCCAAGGCATATCTTTACTGCATTCTTCCCTGTTCTAACTTAGTTCAAATTATTCCTGTCTCCTTCTTAATTAGATGCTTAATCATCTTCAGACTTCGACAGCTTACTGCACGCTCATGGTAAAAAGTCCAGTCAGAAGTTTCGATCCTCCAGAGAAAAAACCTTCACTATAACAACAGGTAGTGATGCTCGTATATTGTGAGGTATTATCAGTGAAATCGACCACTCTTTGACCATTGCGTTCCAGCACCTTGAGAAGATTTCTAAATATATATATATATATATATATATATATATATATTGTGCGCCAAGGGGGGTTAAATGGCACACTTAGTCCAGGTCTAGCTACCCATGTTTCCACTGATCGACTGGCGCTGTACTACAGCTAGGCTTCAGCCTCGGTTGCATCTTTTCCACGTAATGCTGCGTCGTCGTACATTCCAGTTCAGTTTCTGTCTGGACACGCCCTCCCACGCCAGCCCAACTCCACCGCTGCACCGAGCTCCAGAAAGGGGCAGAATCAACAAGCGGCCACGACTGTCCCACCTGCAATATGCTCGCTCATGTGAGACACCTCTTCCCCATTACTACTGCCATCTCCTCGAACTCATCTCGCAATATCAATAACTTACATTATCATGCACTGAGTGGGTGTTGGAGGAAAAGTCTGGGTCTGGAACTCAGGACTGTCGCAGTGTGGCAACAGCCCCTCCCTCCCTCCCTCCCTCCCTCCCCCCATCCCTGCGACGACATCAGCTCGGGAACCGGTTCCTGCTCTGCTCTGCTCTCCGAAGCATTTCTGCAATTCCCCAACACACAGCCAATCAATTACATACAAACACACTCCCACACATACAGACAGATACAGACACACATACACAGTGACAAACTCACACACTCACTCAGATACACACATACCAGCCACATTGTAAACAATTCTTCCCACTTCTGTCAGGCAGGCATCCACGTTTCTGATGATGTGATTCAATCAGTCCTTTGTCTGTCTACTCGGAGGTCCTGGTCTTGCATGATCCTCTTTGTGAACTTGACGTGGTGCTGCTGTGTGTGTGTGTGTGGATGCATGTTGATACTCCACTCTCATGAAGACTTTTCCACACTTATCTTTTTTGGATCTTAGTATGTTGATGGTGTTGCATTTACAACTGTAACCAGGTTGGTGTAGATTGGATGTCATTAGAGTGATTGATTTGGTTTTGGCACTGGTTTTTGTTTGTTTCCCATCGATATTTGGAGCATTGGAATAGAATTTGTTTCTTTACTTTACTTTTCTTTTCTTTCCAATGATATTTTATGAGATATGTTTAGATGGTCTTGCTGCATGTATGAGTCTGGCTCGTTGTTGATTTTACAATAGTTTTCTTTCATTGTTGAACAAGACAAATGGTTTATTATTATTATTATTGTATGGGTGATTATTTACATGAACTTGCTTAAGTTTCTTCTTTTTGCGAATCCTTTTAACAGCATCCACTGCATCCTGTTGGTGGTTGTCATCATCACCTTTGCATGTTACACAACTATTTCTGTTGATTATGATCTTCTACTGTGGGGTTGTTGTTGTTGTTGTTGTTGCTGTTTTTTTCTTTTTCTTTTCTTTTTTACTTTGTTGTTAAAAAAAATTGTTCAAAATACTCACTTGAGAATTTACAAATTTTACTTAATGTGTATTTTTAGTAATTAAATCATGTGCAATAATCCAATTCATTTTTCACATCATCATTAGTATGCACTTAGCTTTTTCTGAAAGCTTCAATGAGTGGAATTTTTTTTCTTTCAAACTTTATTTATTGAGAAAATCAATTTGAATTGGAATTTTTGAATTCTTTAAAAAAAAAAACTATAAAACATTATGTTACATCATAATTTTTTAAAGCCTAAAATAGATATAGCTAAGGTTAATCAAATAACCTTTGCTCCAATTTCTCTCTAACAAGGATAAAGAGCATGTTAATGAAAACATGCTTGCAGCAGTAATTGGCAATGAATTTACACAATTTTATGCACCATTGAATTTGTATGTATATATTGGATTTAATTCTGCAAAAATGACCATATTTACTCTTCATGTATTGAATAGGATCACAAGTTTCTTATGTCCAATCCACCTTGTGTAATGCATGGTTATGCAATCACACATTTCAATGCATCTAAATCCTTTTAATTTATTTATATATTTTTAATTTACAATCATCTGACTTAGAACTTGAATATAAGGATTTATAAGAAAAAAAAGGGTCAAGATAGAAATTTCTGCACATGGATATTTTTGAGGCATTCATAATACTTGTAAAATTTTCTAACCACTACAATCAAGCCTCAAATTTAACACTACAAACTAGCAAATAGATTTTCAGTTATTTCTATTAACTAACCATGAGTATTCCATTGATGTAATGTTTACCAAATACAATAAAATTATTAAAAACATGGTTTTTACATATTTTACGAAATTCTCCTAAATTTATCAAATCCTTTACTAGGATTGATTATTTGTAATTATACATGTGCTCTTATGCTATTTTTGTATTCTACAATTACCCTTTCTGTTATTTTTAACATTTTAAATTTAGTAACATCATTAAATTATTGAATAGATGTCATATATAAATGTAATCAATGATGTTTTTTTATAAGTTATTGTATGTGAGAAGATTTTGCCATTATGGATTAATCTCAAAATAATGCAACACAATCTGTGGAATGAGAATGTACCTATTATTAGCTATTAATTTAAGAATAAGAACTTTTTATATTATTATTTTATTTTTTATAAGAAATAAAATAATTTATTTTTACATTTGGGGCATAGTCTTTAGTTATTACATTTTTCACCACATATATTAACATTTTAACTTAAACAAATGTTTAGTATTATAAGTGATGTTACAATTTTAACAACTAATTTTAAATAACATTTATAAAAAAGTAGAAAAGTAAAAGAAATAAACACACATTCTAGTAAAGATAAAAAGGAAAAATATTTATTGACTCCTAATATTATAGGTGCTATTGGTTCTATTGATGCCATCTTTTTTTATTGTTGTATCTATAATTTTTAATCTATTATATTTATAATATTTCAGAATAATCTTAAATATTTCATATTAACTTTTATTATCTCTTGACATAATACAAAAATATTTCTATCCTCATAAATCCAATTGGAGTTTACTTTATTATGAATTTTATACATTTTTACTACATAAGAAAATAAAATTTCTGTTAATCAAAATTATAAAAAAATAAAAATAAAAAAAAAATGATTCTTTCTAATCAGTGCATGATAGTATCAAACCAAACATCTAAACTTGTATCATGTTTATAGGATAATAAAATAGCCACATAGTATTTAACTTTACAATGTCTTGTTGTACTAATTTAAGAAACTACATTCCAAAACATGTTTTGAAGTTCAGCTTATTATTTATTGCACATAAAAACATTAGACACCTTCAATTTTTTCTAAGAAAAACCAATGAAGAGGTTTCTCATTGATCCTTACTGTAAAAAATCAGAAAAATTAAAAAATAATAAAAAAAAACTTGTGCAGCCAAGTCTTACAAACAAAAAGTCATACAAATATGCATTGAAGAGAAAATGTATGTATATGAATATTTGCTTTTTTTTTTAAAAAAAATCTTGTGCTAAAAATATTTTTGTGGTTTGTTGGCTTTTACTATTATTAATTCCTATATTTAGTCATATTTTCATCCTAAGTAAACTTAACCAGTCACAACTTAACCAACAATATTAACTATGTGTTCACTTCACTTGTACACCTTCAATTATGTTGCACGTACTCTAAAGAAATGTTTTACATTATACACACATATTTGTCTTTACACTATTCAATCACAGTCTACAATTATTTCATGTACAAATCATATATAAAAAGCATAGGCTTTTCTCATGAGATTCAACCATTCCATGCTTCATAAATGCCATGCATTCAATAGCGCTTCTCCCTTCTCAAAAGCAGAATATACTTGTTGAGTATATAGAAAGAAGAAAAAGAAATGAATAGTATTAATAAGTAGAAGCTTGTGAGATGAATTTGTTTCTTTCTTTTTTTCTTTAAAAAAAAAAAAGATTAGGTTAGGTTTTTCCCACTGACTGTATTGTATGATATATATATATATATATATATATATGTATATAGATAAAAAGGATGAATTCTTTAATCAACTTTCAATCAAAATTTTGCACAGAAAGTGGAAGATCCAACATGTGAAAAGTATATGAATATACACACACATCTATTGAAAAAAATGAAGACAATATCTCTTACAAAAAATTAAAACATAAAAGTGAAAATTAGAACTAAAATTGCAACTTTTTATTTTTCTAATAGAGTTTTCTATTGTATATCTAAAAGTCTCCACCAATTATGTTTATATGAATATAAATATAAATATATATACCATTTTAGATCTAGATTAAAAAATCAATCATATTTGCTAATTATTATAGGAATGTTTTATAGTATTCATTTTAGAATTATGTCTTCAAAATGATATTTCAAACATTGATTAAAGCTACTTTTAAAAAAAATTGTCAACAAATTATCTCTAAAAGTTTGTTCAAATTTGATTCTTTAAGTTTCTGTGTTGGAACATCTGTGTTGTACTTTTGAAGCCCAATATCCCAAATTTCCCTAAAGTTCCTCAAAATTTGACCAACCAAAATTTGATATACAAAAATTACAAGAATTAAATTCAAAATACTATAAAATCTTAAAAAATAAAAGAATAGTTGGAACAAATCAATAATTGTGGAATTCTCATCTTCTTATATTTGCCTTCATGGATATATATATATATATATATATATAAATGCCCCCTTAAAATTATTTTTATCTATATAATTTTTAAAGATTTCTCTCAACTGATTGTAAAAATAAAAAATAAAAAATCAAATTCATCAGTTTGGATTTTCAAAGTTGAATAAGTTATTTCAATCACAATTTAGGTGTGTAAATACTTTCATTGAAGTCCTTGCTTTTGATATAAAGTTAAATAATAAAGAAAAAATATCAATAAATAATCATTTAATTTGAATAAAAAATAGTGCTAAATTATAATGTTTATTACAATGCTTGTGATTTTTTTTAATTAACAATCTGACAAAAACAACATCAAAAATTTAATTGTTTTCAATTCAACAATTACACACTTTATGGAGGTAGCATCAAAGTAGCAACTTTAGCTCTTCCAACAAAAAAAAGTCAATCTTATCCCTTCTTCTCTTACTATTTATTTCTTTACAATTATATGTAATAAGTGTAATACATCTCCCTCTCTTTAAATGAAGTTAATCCTGAAGGAATCTCTAATTAGATTAATGATTAGATTAAATCAAGATTAAAATATATAGACACATACATACACGTTCTAATTTAAGTACCATTGAGAATTACAATTACGGATGTGGCTAGAAGATTCAAACAAAATTCAAAACCATGCTTAGAAATGAAACCTAGTATATCCTACAAAATATATTATATAGTCTGAGAATATGTTTTAGAATCTATTTTCATTAAGTTTTTACAACAAAACATTTTTACTTGAAACTGGTTATCAACATATTTGACATAGAAAATCCATATCATTATATGGGCAGTTAAGTTGGGATGGGTACCCTCCTTTGTCCTCACGAAGGCAATTAAGTTTGTGTGCCATAAATACCCAATTGTATGGGTACAAATTGAGAGAATCTGGGGGTGATTTTGAGAATCAATTTTTTCATACAATACTTCCATAGGTTTGAAATTTGCTTATTATTGTACAATCTGAAAATGTTGAGAATCTCAAATTTTCCTCTGCTTCGGGCAGCCAATCCTTTTTCATTAAGAGATTTTTTTTGTCTAGTCTGCCCGAGATCTGTGACTCTTCAACTTCTAAACCCTAATTTTCTGTTTTCACACTTTTCACAGCATTTGCGCTGTTGCTCAAGCTAGATATTACAACTCCTATTCTAGGAATTAATTAATGTTTATTATATAAAACAGCTAATATGTAAAACATATATAAGGGAATGTTAAATAGACCCAAGTTTTTACTAAATTGACCCACCCATCTTAACCATCTTAAAAAAAATAATGGTTTTTGGATTCAATTCTCCATTATTAGATTTGCAACCAAAAAAAACAACCACATTCATCATGATTATTATATTCTTCATCAAAGGAGAGTCTATACAATGAAAACATGGGTTTATTTAACAATCCCTCACATATAATATAATAACATAAAGAAGCCTTCTCATTGGCCAAACATGGATGAAAATGGATGAACAAAGGAATGGATGGATGGTAGTGCAAGAGATCATAGTGCCCAAACACATGGGTTTCTGCTAATAGAAAATAATAAATAAAGAATTGCTAGTGTGCCCATAATGTTATATATATATATATATATATATATATATTTTAAAAGAAATCAATAAGTAAAAAAAAGTAAATAAAAAGATATATATATATATATATATATATATATATATATATTTTTTAAGAATTATTAGGAGAGGTGAGGGTAGCGGAATAAATCTAAATGAATGCATTAGGCTATTGTAAACCATGATTTTTATGGATATGCAGGAATCAGCCACAAATATTATTTAAATAAATATAATTGCAGAAATTGTCAAATGTAGAGTGCTTGATCTTCAACTCTTCATTATTGTGTCCCAAGAGTATTGTGATAAGGCCTATTGAAAATGAATGTATCATTGAAATGGAATCTTTCATTGCAATCAAAAGTGTAGAACACTCTTTATTCCATGATCTATCATTGGCCTATAATAGTTCACACATCCAGTTACATATACATATATATATATATATATATATATATATAATTTATATTAATTATGTAAATGCATATTTTTTTGAGGTTATTAAAATTATTTATTATAATTTTTATATGATGAACTGATATTCCAACTCAAAATTTATTTAATTTTAAATTAATGTTTAGATGAGAATACTGAGAAAGAATTACATTTTCTGATTGGTATCACTAAAAATTTACACTTGAAAAAGTAAAACCAATATACATCCACCCACATCCCACAATTCATCCACAATGTTTGAGGACGTGGATCAGCATTACTTGAAAAGAGACCTTTTCACACGAGCACAGCGTGTGTAGACAGACACATGGGCCTTAAAACCGTGCGGTATGAAGGGGTCCCTATCGCCAAGGCACCGCGCAACTGAGGGTGATGCACAGTTTTACAAAACTCGACCTATGACCGATCCCGTCTACTCTTTGCAATGCCGAGTCCTTTCAGTGGAATGAGAGACTTTACTACAACTATGAAGGGTTGTAGAACACCATAGAAAAGCCCCATCATTGAACATTCAATTACTATTGAACTGAACATCCTTGGTGTCTGCGTGCATGAATCCAGAAGGGCAGTGTATAGTTCATTGAGGTGATTGTATCTTTCACTGGACACCACAATGTTTCTGAAGAGAAAAATGAGATTTAATGTTCACAAAAAGAACACTACTACGCAATGGGCTCTGCACAAATCTTTACTTGGAACTCAAAGTCATTGCAACTCCTGTTGCAAAGTCCGTCATCTTCATGTTAAGCTCTGCAACAATCTTGCTCACGTCCATGGAAATGTCTGGTGGGCTCACCACTCCTCGGTTCACCTATGTACCCACCACCAACAAAGCACCATCCACATACAGTGTTTTTCTCAAGTGTACAAAAGAGGACAAAAAAGGACCGCATTGAGAAGTGTAAAATAAATATTGCAATGTGGGGCTCGGGGCTTACTGCTGTTTGTGAGGAGACCCTCCTCACAAGTTTCGTGTCGTAGCCTCTCACTTGTGCAACAGTCTCTGCCATGGCAGCTCTAGACAGGCGATCTGGGCCTCCAATGTTCAAAAGGAGGTACATTGGACGCATTCCACAGAAGTGCTTTTCCATGAGGAGCTTGATCGCTTGCACCACATCCTTCACATACACAGGGCACCTATATTCATCTTCGAAGAAGTCAGCTCCTGATCCGCTAGAAAGCACACCGTCGATCCACTGCAGCCAAGACCATGCACTGAGCAGTTGTAAGTAATTCGGTTATGCATGTAATTTCGACTTCTATATTTGGAGCTAGCCAGCGGACAAAATGCATAGCTGGAGAACACAAAGAATTACATATATAAAGTGACAATGTCCACGAGCTTTTATTTAATTATTTGATATTTATTTATTGTATTTGAATCTGCAAATACCTGTAATGAAATGAATTAGAGTTACCTGTAGAGGGAGGGTCTTAGGAAGAGGAATAAATGGCTGAGGCCCGTATATGATGCTGCTTCGCAAAATTGCATAATGATCGTAATTTGACTGGATGTATTTCTCAGCCATCACTTTCGTCTCTCCATAAGTGTTAACAGGCTTGGTTTCGTCCTTCTCCTCGTAAAACGACTTATCTCCTTTGTACACTGTCACAAATCTATCGACATGTCACATTCGAACATTCTTCCCAAACTTAGCAGGTTTAAAACATAGTCTGTCGAAGCCTACAATGTCAAGGTTCTTACAGTACACGATCGTTATTGCATAGCAGATGATCAGCAATCAAGCACTTGTTTACCTTGATCAGTTGAAAGGTGGATTAAAAAGGGTGGCTGTGCAGCACCCAAGTCATTAAGCCATTGAACTAAAACGGTGGGGACGTTGATGGCCTTCGCTGCTTCCGGCTCTTGCTCACAAGCACGAGGAACTGAGATGGCCGCACAATTTATCAATACATCCGGCTGCAACATCCCGACCAAGAAGATTAGTCTGCATGCTCCGAGTGTAACATCCTGACTTAGCGAACTAAACGAGATTAGTGCAACTAATGAACAACTGTAGGCATGTACTCCAATGAAAATTCATTCACGAAAGACTCACAGTTCCCAAAGACTTGGAAATCTCCTGTAATCCTTCGCCGCTGCGAAGGTCCAGATGAAAGGCCAGAACATTAGGAAGCTTATCCACAAGTTCAGCAGGGGCTGGGTGAGAGTTGTAGGTGTATGCCAATGTACAGTCGCAGGTAGGAGATGCTAAATCTTCCAAAAGATGTAGCCCCAGATACCCCGATCCCCCAACCAGCAAGATTACTTTCTTCTCCCTGCTTTCCGCCATAGGTGCCTGCCTCTGAAATGCATACGAAACTAGGCGCATTGGTATCCTTCAACAGCAAGAAATACTACGACCCATAAGAGCATAATTGCACAATCCCCAGCATTGGCGTGCTACTCGTCAGAAAAAAAATCTTTAGAATGAGTAATACATTATCTACGCAAAGACTACGATGAATTGAAGAAGAAGAACCAAGCTTGAGAAGACGAAGACATTCTAGATGCAGAAAGGTTCAATAACATGCCGGAGATAAAAAATAAAAAAAAAAAAAAAAAAAAAATGTAGAAAAAAACTCTCCTATGTCAATCGAAAGCGGTGCGTCACCCTAAGGATTCGTAGAAAAGAACGGAGACGCGAAGGAAAAACGGGTCGCTCAGTACAGAACAAATCCTTACACAACTCACATCATCCCCAATTCCATGTTTTTCACAATAGCACAACCAAATGCGATGCTTTAGAAGCAAGCTCACTATAGACGCGTAAAAGATGAGAACCTGAGAACCTTTGTCCAGATCACAGACTCGAAAGTTGAGAATGGAGAAGATTATCACAAGACAAAGTCGCAAAACCCTGTAAAACAGCAACAAACCATTCGTTACCAATTCCTGGGAAGGTCGTCACAGATGAATTCAAACAAGTGGATTCTTTTTAAATACCTGAAACAATCCAATGGAATGAGGATCCAAGAAATTGTGAAGCACAGGAAACCCAAAAGTCGAAGGAATGGCCCATTTGTGTCCGTGTCCAACACAGTCGTTACTTCACGGCCATCCAAGGTAAAAGATGACAGCCCAAAATAGTTCAGCCCCTGATTTCAAAAGATGGGTCATCAGAGACAATTCCTAATCCGTCTATTTCAGTGCTCCTGATTATCTGAGCCCTGAAAGATAAAAGATGAGAGTAGACAGGAAAGGGCCTCTCTTCCGCCGAAACCAAAAGGAATCTGTTCAAGTAGGTCTTTGATACTCCATTGCCGAAGTGTTCGTCCAATTCTTCGGTCTCGCAGGTGCCAGGAGAGTATTGAATTCGATCGGCTCAATTCGTGTCCCCGCGTCAATGTCAGGAGTACGCAGATTAGGAGTAACCCAATATGCGTGGATTAGTGTAGGCTGCGGTGGATGTAACCACGTGTCAGATTCGTTGCAAGCAGTTCGTCGGCACACCGTAACCATGATTTAACTACTGCTTGGGCTAATACTCCTCAGTGTTCGTTTTGCGAAGTGTATCGACTTCGAGTTACGGCTGCTTTGCGGAATTGGAGGTTGGACATGGTTACTGCATTTGTTCGGGTGTTCTTGGAGATTCCCTAGACGTCTACGTTCACAGAGACTGGTGCGGCCCTAAGCAGTAGTATCATAGCCAATTAGCTGGCTGGGGTGACCATGGGAGACCTGCGGACTACCGCGACAAAACTCGGCTTTCTCACCCAGATTGCACTGAATTATGCTCTCGGATCTCGATGGCGTCAGGTAGGCTTTGGATGCGGGAATGAGGGTACGGGCATTCACGCAAATATTTTGTCAAGCCAACAATCGTCATTGAGCTACAAGCTATTAGGAGTTTGTCGGTCGATACTGGACAGTTCTCAACAGGCTTACATTATCACGATGCCTTGAAATTAAGCCACAGACTCATCAGGATTTGTGCTAATATTTGGGACTGCCTGGGACATTCATAGTGCTTCCAGCTTCACAAATCAATCCATTCAAGTTCACAATCATTCAAAGCCACATGGCATTGCTTCAAGCTCATTCGCTGATTCTACCCAAGCGGCTTGTGGTTTGTACATTGGATTCGGTCCCCTTGAACTCAAAATTCCAATTACACGATAGCAGTACTCTGTCCGCACCGACCAAGGGTCCTACCATCAACCTGTATACAGAACACACCAGGTTGGGTACATTCACATCTCAAACTACTGCGTGATGTAAAGTAAAACTTGGCTTCACGCGAAACAAAAACCTAAAAATCAATGAACGGGCATTCAAGCACAATCCTGATGCACCAGATTCTGCAATAGCTGAAAAGCAAACACGACAATTGGTGCAATGTTTGCTTTACTACACCTGAAAACGCTTTGAAGCACCGTGACTGGTAGCCAGACCGATAACATTCCTCAAGAAGATGAAACATGGATGCAGCTAAGTGTTGTATTACTTCATCTTCATAACCAACCTGCTACTCGTTACCTCACCTTCAGTCTCTTAATCAGACTAAACATGCGGGATCTGTTGACAATGCGTACAGTTGCATTGAATAACAGTTTACCTTATGACAGCGTCTAATATTAGGAATGATGCTAACCTGCATCAAGTTTGGTTGGTGATTAAGGAGTTCTAATCAGCCCTTTGTTATTAACTGAATATGCTTCTACATTTTCTATTGCAAGGCTTTGAGTAATCCAAGTTCGGGATTCCGTGAGAAGATGTTTGGCCGGCAGAAAAAACCAAGGGTTGGACTTTGAAAACCTTCACCAAGATTAGATGCCGCTTAAGCTAGCCGAAGATGGTGAAGTAACCAGTCATTGATGAGTTGTTTTCCTCCGCACCTCGCTGAGAGAACCTACACTAGTTAGTAAACAACAGTAAATGCTCCGGCTACAAGAGCCCCCTAGTTTATAATTTTGTATATGTTAACACGTTGTGTGCTTGATCTGCTTGTGAATTCAGAGATAGAGAGACGTGCTCGTGGTCTTGAGGAAAAACTAGGTTGCAGAAGGCCTACTACTGAAGAGTCCTTCGAAAGCAAATACTAAAGCGACAAGTTCCGATTGATCTTGTCTAAGCTAGAGTCGACCTTTTAGTTTTAGCTTTTGTATGGAAAACACACACTTGAGTGCATAATCCCTATGATTATCATTTGATTTCTCTTCCATCCGATAATTGTTCCCTTGCAGGTTTCACCCTAAACCTGGTAATATATCTTATTTTGAGCGCTCACTTGCAACCCACCCACCGATCCGCCCCCTGCTACCGTAAATGCCAACATGGCCGGCCCGCTTCACGCCCACGACAGCATCAAATTCCGCTGGCCCTACCCTAATTACCGAATTCATCACCCCTGCTACATCAAAGCAGCAACAACTCACCGCTTTTTCACTTCAACTCTTCGGCAATCTCCTCTCTCTCTCTTTTCTCACGTTCCCCTCGAGCCGCTCCAAAGTCCAAACCCACTCCGCTCAATCCTCAAATCATAAAGCCTCATCAAGTTCCACAAACTTCCAGACATCCGAAAGACATCAGAGCTCTAGTAAATTTACTCCGCGAAGATTCAACAGGAGGTGTACACAGCACAGTCATTCTGCCACTAGCATCCCTCTGCAAAGTTACTTACCATGTGATTCAATCGCAAAGTTACGTGCCCAGAAAGCATCGACCCAACCATCACAAAAACCCTCGTCATGGATAAGGGAAAAAAAACACATCTCGAGATTCTACAACGATAAAAGGTGGTAATGACGGAGAATGTTCCAATATGCCAGGTGACCCTACGCACCAACGCCGTCCTCGCCCCACTACTGTGGCCCAGCAGCACCTCATAATAGGTCAAATGCTTGGAATCAGAATCGTGTGCAACAAGGAACAATGATCGCCGAATCATGCAGTGAAACCATGCAATAGTCATTGTGGTGTGCAACAGCCTGTCGATCACAGTGAACCGCTGAGCTTTGCACCCACAAACTGAGAAGCTCGGATGCCTGTCTATCTCGATCGGAGGGCGGATAAGTTAATCTGGCGTTCATTGCCTGCTCCATTGTTGGGTCAATTCTCTGGTTTTAGCGACAAAATGTGTTGGCGCCTCGGCAGATGGGCTTGAGCCGCAGTAATTGTGATTGCCATACCGCTGATGGATCACAAAGAGACAAAAATATATTTTGATTGGTTGTTGAAAAGAAAACTTTAGGAACTTAGGAAACATGAGAATAAAAGAAGTAATTGGAACCATGAAGATTTCCAAGAATCAAATGATTGGAACCTTGAAGATTTTTCAATAATTATTTTTGCTTTACCCTTATTCTCTTCTTCACTCTTGTTGGATTGCTTGTTGCTTTTATTCTTCCTCTTTCTCATTCTTGTCACAATCATGTTTTGTTTTTTTTATTAATATATTTTTGTAGAAGAGCTTCTTTGTTATAGTTGCTAATGCTACAATTGTTACATTCATAGGTTGTGATCTCTGTAGGCTAGGCAACTCCCTTAGGAGTGATGTATCCTTTGAATATAAAAGAAATGGATGTAGAATTGACAATGAATATGACAAAAAACAAAAACTTGCCAATGAATTCAATGGTGACTTTAATGATGTTTAAGGCACAATATTGATGGATATTTGTGGAATTTGGTTTAAATAGAAGCTAAAATGATAGATAACATATTATTGACTAAGATGAAAGAAAATGAATAAGAATTGAAACCCATTATAATTTTAGATATATGCCTTAGCTATTTTATTTTTATAAGTGTGAATTTTTATTGAATATGCCAAAATATATATATATATATATATATATATATATATTGGTACCATATTATATAGTATCTTTAAAGTTTTTATTTAGAATGTGCCACCAATTCAAAAAATAATTACCATTTACTTAAAGTATTACACAAAGAAAGTGTTGAAGAATTATACTGTCAATTCTATTTTAACAAATTTGACAACATTAGATGCAATAACCTTTTTTACTTTGTTGTGGAGATGTAATTATAAGCAAGGAAGATTATCAAGAGAATTTTCATTTCTTGTAAGAAAAGAATGCTAAAAAAATCAAGTATGCACTTACAAATGTACAATATAATCTTGGTTATTATTTTGTCTACTCATTTCACAAATAGTGAGATGGAAGAAGAATTTTTTATTTGAATGCTTGCAATTGCTTATAATATAATTATTAGTATCATGTTTCATGTTGGAGAGCATAGTGGTATGATAAAAATGTGCAGATATTTTTTTTGTCTCAAATTATTTTACAATAATTGTATAGTAATTTTATCTATTCAATTAGCTTTATTATCAATTGTAAGTAAGTAATCTATAATAAATATGATGGTATAATGAATAAAACCATACAAAAAAAATATCAAGCAACAAATTATTCAAGATATGATAGTAAAGAGTGTAAAATCACAACTCGTTTATCATATATAATTGTGTGTAGTAAATCTTTATATCTTTGCTAATAAAAAATAAGTTTTCTTTGATGAGGCTTACAATTACACACTTATGTATTCACAAATTTTGTAGGACTACAAGAATACCATCTAAGCTTCACTATCATTGAATATGACCTCCATCTATATTAAGAATTATCTACAATCTTCTATACATTTTATTTATCTATTTACTAATAGTGCCTTGATCAATGAGGTTCCACTCTTCATGTGTTGCTTTAAATAATTGTTAAACATTATAAGGACTCTCCTTTCTTTGCAAAAAATGATTTTTGAAGCGACCTTTAAAAATTATCCAATAGTTTTTAATTAGATTGAGATCCAAAAAATTAGCTAGCTAAGGTAGTTGTACTTAGCAACATTCTTTTTAGATTCTTACATTCTCAAGCCTTTGATATCATCTTATTCTATCCGCAACTAAATAAATATGACTTGAATCATCACATAGACTGCAAATGAAAAAAATAATGTAAGGTTTGTGTAATTTTTGAATAAATTGTACATCATTGAAGCCAAGTCTATTACAAGGAGTAACATGCTCCCTCTTTATCTTCTACTTCATTAATGCTAATTAAGAACGACCTTCTTTTGTAATTTGTTTTCTTTAATCTAAAATTAGGTATCAAATTCTTCTTGTATAGTTCCTTAAGTCAATTTATATAGACCCTCTTCCATGTAGAATATGGATCATAGACTATAGTAGCCTCATCAATGAAACAAACTCTAGTCCACTGTTGCAAATTCTATCTACAATGTCTATGAGCAAATTCTTTACATTTTTCTATCTATCTTAATCTCTAGTAGGATTTCAGCCATAGCACTTTCGAGCAAAAATCACTAGTAGAAATAATCTTGTGAATGCTTGAAAATGAGAGTCAACATCTACTTTTCTTGCAATCTCTCATAAACATAATCTAAGATCTTCATCTATTATGTCTTCTACTTTCTTCTTTATAATCCTTGTAATTTTTTGCAAACAATCTTTACTAAGAGCATCTTCAACATGACCCCTTTATGAATCTCCTCTCTTCACCACTTTTTGAATTCTTAATTTTTCTACCTCCAAAGTATTTGCAATCTTCCCATAATCCTAGTATGCTACATTGTAGAAGTTGTAAATCTTCTTGTTCAATTCTTCTTTCATTTCTCTTTAGCTATATAAAGATACTATTGTGAAGATAGTGAACTACAATGACTTTGTTGAGGAAGATGCAAAGACTTATTGCACATGATTGTATACGAATAGAACAACCATGCAAACCTCATGACGATCTGCACAACTAACAATAGTTTGGTAAAAATCCATAGTTTAATGGAAAACAGTTAAAAAAATAAAAAAGTATTATTTCTATTATTTCTATTGATATTTTTAGAAATATCATATCAATAATAGAACTTATTATAAAGTAAAACAAGAAAGTTTGTGAGAAAACAAAAAAATAAAAAAATAAAATAAAAAAATAAAGATTATACAAACAAATTTTTAATCATAAAAGTAAAATTTGGACTTTCTAAAATTTCAAAAATTAAGATAATGATATTTTAACAAACCAAATAGTATAGTGCAAAGCAATAGCAAAAAAAAAACAACAGAAACAATCACGACACAATGTCATATATTGTAAAATTTGGTTGAAAAGATAAAATAGAATTTGTAATAAAAGATCTTAATAAATTTAATAGAATTCTAAACAAATTTTAACTAAATTATAAAATTTCTAATCAATCTTTAATCAAATCTAAAAGGAGTTTCAAAAAAAATTCAAAGAAAAAAATTAAGAAATCATAAATTAATCTTAAAAAATTTATATAATAAATAATCTTAAAGAAATATCAAAGAAATATTTAAAAAAATAATAAAAAATAGAAATTCTAAATGAATCTTAATCAAATCTTAATATAACTTTCTACAAATTCTAATAAAATCCTAGATCAATTCTAATAAAATTCTAACCAAATCCTATTGAAAATTTAAATAAATCCTAAATTCTAATTAAATCTTAAATCAATCTTAATCAAATCTTAATAAAATCTTAAAATAATTTTAATAAAATTTTAATCAAATTCTAATCAAATCCTAAATAATCATTCTAAATAAATTTAATTCAATTATTATAGCTATTTAAAAATATCAATAAATATTAATTGAACCATTGATCTTAAATAAAATTTTCATTCACATCTTAGTCTACAAGCAATTAACCAACACACAAGATTTGAAGAAAATCAATTTACTAATTTAAAAAATAAAACTCTTAAATTATTTAGATATTGGTCATTTTTTTTTCATTCTAGATGTTGATATTCCAACAACAATTTTTTCTTATTAAACCATTCAATTTCTTTAAAGAACATTTGGTATGTAGAATTTTAAATCCAAATAATTATCACTATTTTTTGCTTCAATTGGATTGATAGATGTTGCAAGATTATAAAAACCTTTATTGATCCTAAATTTCATTTATTTAAGACTATAATCCATAAAAACTCTCATTACTATCAATCTAATTATCAAATTAATTTTAAATTCTTCAAATACATTTAAAATAAACACAATGAAAAATTGACAAAATTTCACTAATAAATATACTACAACACTCATAAAATCATCAAAATTATGATTTTTTTTTTTTAATTTTAAAAATTCAAATCCACTAAATACATCTTTTACTTTGAAAAGCTTTCAAAACTTGTCATGGACATATACAATTACTTTAATGATTAAGTAGAAGTAGGTAAATATAGATTAATTTCATAAAGTCTTTTA